TTTCTTATTTCCTCGTACGCGAACAAATAACTTTAACTTTTTTCTCTACAAATTTCTTCATTGTCTTGAAGGACATTATACTGAGGTTATATGCATGAGTATACAAACTGTAACAAATTTGTAACTTCGGAACAGTTATATTCTCAGCAAATTTCTTCTCATATATACAAGAAAATAATATTGTGAACTTCTGAAGTTAGAGATAAAAATATTTTTCCCATCTAATTAAACATTGTTTGAGAAATGTTGAATCAACATTGCCTTGCACCCCAATAAACATTGCAGTACAATACCGTAAACATTAAAATACATAATGATCAACGAAGCAACATCAGAGTCTTAACTAAGAATGCTAGGTCAGGTTATTAAAATTTTTATCCAAAATAAAACACGTTACATCATTACGAATTAATCAGTTGTCAGTACTGTAGTACAAACGTCAACAAAATGTTAAAAAATCAAATACATCGAATCTTTTAATCTATAGACATTTCTTTTTGTCTTCCCATTTTCATTCAAGTTATGTCACATGCATGATATTTTTTTAGAAAAATTAGCTATATAATTCTGCAAAAGATATCAATACAGAAGGAATTCCAAATATTTTCCTTTGTATTTACCAAATATTGCTTCATGTATTGTTGAGTATTGCTTCTCAATCAGTTTCAAAAACAACTTGAAAATATCAGTATTAAGCTATATAATTTTCAAAATTTGAAACTGAATAAGGAAGAATTATTTTAATACCTATTGATTTTATTATCTAATTGCATTTTTGCATAAATGGTTTTTATATACAAGAAAAGGAAAAAAAACCGTCCCGAATAATCTGTTTCCAAAGGATTTTTAAAGTAGGAAGGCTGAGTAAATGAAGAAACTATTCATTTATCAAACGATTCCCCATTATTTGTTCACAAAGAAAAATGGTATGTATAACTATTTGTACAACTTAGAGCATAACTTTTCAACATTTTGAACAGTAAGCTTTTATTTAGTTTTATTTGGTGAAAGCTAATAAAGGAATCCTTAATTTCTTTTAAAATCATACTAGGTATTCGAGTGAACAATAATCTAAACTTATGCCGCAACTATTTAAGAATATTGACAAATCAATTAAAACAGCATCATATGGTAAAATGTTTTCTAAAAAGAACATTCTATCAGCTTTTACTTCTCTAAATATTTATGAATGGTTGGAAAGGAGATGATAGCGAGGGGGGATATCTGTTGTCATGTTGAACATGATAAATTTGTCAATAAAAAAACAATCAAATTTGATATTCTACTAGGAACAAACGCAATATGACATCCGTAAAATCTATCAGGAGGAAGGCTCATTTTTTTGCAATCTTAATAATGCAAACATTATTTTACACACTAACATTAACAAAAAAAACATTGTTCCTTTTTATAAGCAACAAATATCCCCGCAAAAAGTGTAATACTCTTATTTCAAATGTGCCCAATTAATAGATCAAAATAATAGGTCAAAAGTCATGAGGATCAGTTTCTTGGCTGTAAAGAACAAAAATTTTATGAGCTAGGAATCATGCTACTGACAGCAAGATGGCAAAAAGTATTGGACCAGAATGAACTATATATGATTCAATAAAATATTTAGTCGCTGCAAGAAATTTATTTCATTTATTCACTGCTACTTTCTGAATTTCATTTATTCACTGCTCACTCTTACATTCCGAACATCCCAATTTATGTAACGCAATTGGAAATTAAAAATGGCAGGCATAGCTTAATAAAATATAGTTAAAACAAATTCACCACTGAAAATTCTGTGAATAGGATTCATTAGTTTTTTTAATCAAACATCAACAATTTATATAGTAATGCCTTACATAGAAAGATGACTAATTATATTTATTTTTATGAAATCACATGTTTTAATATTATAAACTTAAATTTTCAAAAATGGAATAATTATTTCTTTTCTTTACAGAGAATTAGGATAAGAAATTACAGGGCAGCTGTTACGATCCACTTGAAAAACAAGTGAGACATTTTAACTCATCTACTCATAAAAGTTGTTATGAAATGACTACCCTTCCTAGATGTTTTAAAATATTTTTAAATGATTTTTTTTTTAAAAATGTGTTTATTAGAAACAACAAATTAATAAGTAGGTGATCAAGAGCAAAAACATTTTAAACATCAGTATTAAGGTCAATAAAGAACTTGAAAATAACTTAAAACCTATTTATTTGACGACAAAACTTAAAGACGCCGGAATAGGATGTTTTTATGATCAACGAATTATAATCTTTATTTTTCTACCAAACTTCTACTGTGCCCTAATGCTTCGATATTCTAAACATATTAATACTTTAAATCTCAAAAAAAAAATTATTGTAACTATTCTCATTGTTCTCTCTGTACATTTTTTACACACCTGCGTATGAAGCTTTAAGTTTAATAGTTTTTGAGAAGCAAAGTATAATGCAATTAAAATCACACAAAAAAATGGGAGTCGATTTGTGAGCCTTTTGTTAATGATTGTATTAAAAGTTTAATTTAAAAAATCAGATGACTCTCTTAAATAACAATTTATTGAATGATTATTTTACCATATTTAATCAAAACAGTCGAATAACCATAAATAAAATGGTAATCAAACTGTTAAGTTCGAAAAAAACGGTTTAATAACTGCTTTCACCAAGTACGGTTAAACAACCAGAATTTTATCTCACCAATTAGAACCACCTAATGAAGCTACTTAATTCCTTGTAATGGCGTACATATCATAACAGAGCCGGCTTAGCTGTCAATGTCATGACCGGCAGAACTGGAGTTCAAGTCCTAGTGGTGACACCACAATATTTCCCCCATTCCCTTCAACACATGAAGAATTTCCGATGTCCGCTTTCTCTATTGAAGAATTTCCGCCCATTACCTTACGAAAAGCCGAGCTCCTATGTTTAGCTAAATAATTAAGGTTTTTTAAAGTTTTTGAAAAATGCTAGTTGTAAATGGTTAAAAAACCGTATAGTTTTGTATTCATGGTTTTATAAGCATGCTTTTTGTAAACGGTTTCAAAACCATGTAGGAAAAATGTTCTTTACCGTAAACTTTACGGTTAATCGGATGGACAGACAGCTGCCAGTTATTTTACCATAATTTTAGAATGAAAATTTAAACAGTGTTCATGGTGTTTGGGAGGAAAACGAATAAGATTAATATTTAGTGATAAACAACTTAATTTTTAAAGTGTTCCAGAATCAGAGTACATTAAAAAACGATGTTACTTCAAAAATCTGAATGTTTTGATCATTCGGTGTATGTGCATCTGGAACCAACTGCTTCAATAATTTAGACTCCACTCTAAAACAACCTAAAATAAATTAATAAAGTTGAAAAAAAAATTTTCAGTATAGTTCATGAGTCTATTATCTATAACTAGGAGGCTCCGCCCCCTGCTCGCTAACGCTCGCCAACCCCCGAGAATTGCTACGCAATCCTGTGTAGTTCACGCCGTGAACCATGGCTCGCTGTGCTTGCTCGCCAATGAACACAATGTTCTAGCACAAAGACATAGTATATTATCATCAGACATAGTATTTTATAATCAAAGACATAGCATTGTACTTATGTAGAAGAATTCTATCTTATTGGCTTATAAAAAAGTAGATTAACTATTTAGATTGTACATGGTGAAAAAATCAAAACGTTAGCTAAATGAGAAACATATTACCGAAATAAATTATCAAATATTGCAGTTACTCACCTAAATTCAACTAAATGTGTATAATAAATTAGTTAATGCTAGAAATTCTGAAAGTTTTAGAAAAAAATTTTATTATTTAAAAATATAAACTTTAAACCCTAACTTTTCCTTGTGAGATAATAACCCTCAAAAAGTCTTTCATTTTCAAGAACACAAAAATTTGTTTTATCGCCAAATGAAATATTTTTTGGTGATCAGCATTATTGAAATCAATTTCTATATTAATTAACATTTGTGATAAAGTAC